CGAGGTTGCGGGCATAGGAACGATTCAAATGTTGTAGCAGATTCGGCGTTCCTTACTGCGGAATTGGCCGTGTTTGTTTGAATGCCGTACTGAAATTATGGTAATAGTACAGTGAGACCGGCACACTGTATTTTAAATTTCTCTTAACTAAAACATACATTGCGCTAGAACAGACGAAGAATTCATAAAATCTTGGAAAATACAGCAGAATCTTTCAGAAACCAGCTCGTTTTAAAACTTACGTGCTTACCAAGCACTGCAGTAATTGATTACAGAGCGGAAGATACGAGTATGAATAATCAGTGGCGAATCTAGGCGGGTTTCAGAGGGGGAGCCAGAGAACTCATACCAAAGGGGGGAGTATTCTCTCGATTTTTCGGCGACCTCCACCGTAAAAAATTTCGCAACGTACCCCCCTCTTGCGAATTTTTTTGACGTCCAGGTTACGGGGGCCATGGCTGCTCTGGCACCCCCCTAGACGCGCCACTGAGTATGATTTGCAAAACGCAGGAATTCAGAACCGCAGACTACAATCCGCTAGAGGGTTGTGGAGCATCCAGTTTCCACATCAACCGATTTTCGGATTTAGACAGAGAAAGATAAAAACAAAACCAGGCTAAACTGCATAAGAAAATTTTTATGCAATTAAACTGCGTGGTGGAATAAAAGTCGGCCTTTGGTACTTGCTTGGGAAGCAAGTGGCCAAAGATTAACCATACGAATAGTAACAGAGCTATAGAGTCCCGATTCTTTTTTACAACTAGCTCTGACCTAGTTTAAATCACATCGGAGCTGTGCCAGCGTCCGGGACGAGTCATCATTCGTTCTAGCAGCACAGTGCTCTACAGTTCGCCAGTGGCAACACTTACTTCGCTTAAGGACACTTAACTGGGCCACTAGGTCACCTGACTTTACGCTGACATCATATTACTGTGCATGAACACGTTGTCATATTATGCCATCTTATAAGCTTATCGCCCTATCAGCCCTGACCCAGACCATATATGAAGGGCCCATCCCATCCGTATGAGCCAGTAGAGTACCAGCATCCTGCCAGATAACCCCCAGGCTTCACCTGGCTGAGCTAGTGTCGGGTTAAGGGTTCATACGGTTGAAGGTAGAGCTAGTTTACTTCCCAGTCACGACTCAGTCGGTAGAGCAACTGTCAGAGTGCAGCTTGATTGTAACTTGTAATCCAAATTTTTAAACGTCATGAATGCAACTCCACGCTACTTTCGAGAAATCCGTTCGCATAATACACGACAGATCAATTACGGGAACACGGTGCTCGTGCAGCGCGACAATGGCCAATGGTGGCTGGGATGCGTTCAGGATATAAGTGGCGATCAGTTTTTCATCGACTTCGACTCGCTCAAAGTCAGCCCCGAGTGGATCCCTTCCAAACATTTCTGGCCACATCATTTCTATTCCGCTAGACGCCCATACGCCTCTTCCATGCACGTGGCGCTGCGTGACGTGGATGATGGACCACTGATCTTTCGACCAGCTGTCAATTTTGATAAACTGTGCCGCATGTTTTTCTCTGTACGCCCGTATAACCAGAACTCCGCGGATCCGGCTGCTAACTGCATCGTACACGCGTCCACTTTTGTCGCAAAACTGCCGGCGGCGGACGAAGAACCAAGCTTTTTCGCGGGGACCAGCGGGTTCGTTTACCGGAAACATGCAGTCCGCTTTGAGGCAGCACATCGGATGCGTGGAGTTTACCGCATGCCCAAGTATCTGGCTCGTTCATGCCGGCCAGCACTGCGCAGTGGCGATCCGTGTGGCGCCAGTTGTCACTTTGATATGTTCCAGAATAACACCGACACCTGTATGTTCGTGTGCGTCGACAGGGAGCACACAATGACATCTCCATACGTCTTCAAAGTCGGTTGTCGTGTGTTTGTACGAGCGGGAATCGACACAGTGACCTTCATCTGCGCCGAAGTGCATGGCAATGCGGAAGGGTGCAGTATGTTTTGGGACGCGAATGCCCTGAAAGAAGCTTGCCAAAACTACCTGAGTGAACAGGACGCCCAAGAAGCCAATATTATTGTGATGACGGACAAGTGTGCCAGTGACGCGTGTCAACATGGTAAGAGTGTCGCACTAAATTACTAATCTAATGCAGGTATTGTACTAGTAACAGTAATCCAATTACTAATCTAATGCAGGTAACAGTAACAGGTCAGTACTGACCCCCTTAACTAGACGTTATACCGCGTTCGTGGTCTGAGTGGCAATGTCGCTTGTGCGCAATGCGCAAAATGTCAACATCCGAATCCGTACAGTTTACAACGACCAAAATGATAGGTGGCAGGCACTCAGGCACTGGCAACACAGCAGGATGATCGCCAGTCCGCCAAAACGATAACAGCAGTTTACACAAAAAGGTAAAAACTAGGTAACTTTGAAAACTGAAATTCAGATGGACACTGGTGTAGTGTGAAGTGAGGTCAGACCATACTAATTCCAACAACAGCTTTCGGAAAATCAAAATTTTTGTTACCCGACATGCCGGACATGGTATTACGTCTCTTAAATCCGACACATTGAACGTCCGGAGATGGAAACTGGTCGCTAGTTTACGCTCATTTGGATAGTGGGTAAAAATTTTGCAGATGGCAGTGAAATTCGCATCACTGATCATCCGCATCCCGTTATGGCATGTATTCTGCTGACCATGGATATCGTCACAAAGTTACGAACCAGTCGGTAAGTCGGCTACAGTACATAATGCTGCAGGTAGACTTCTAAAGATAAACAAACAACTAGAAACAAGTTTGAAATTTTGAAGGCACACTGGTGTTTGTCGAAGCCCCATCGGTAAACTGATCGTTAAAACGGACTTACTGTATCCTTGCAGTGTGTGTGCGTTGTGGGCACTTTTTTTGAAAGAGTTTCCCAATAGCCAAAACACATCCTCGACCTCCGCTTGCTCCGCGCTCAGGGACCCACTGATAGAGAATTCAACATTGACTCCCGCTGTACCAATATGAGTTCGTCACGCTGCTAGACCGCGCGATTGGTCAGGAAACGCAAACGGTGGCGTTGTTCGGGAGGGGAAGGACCGTTGGTCAGGGGAGACGATACTTGTCCAACAAACTATGGATGCTGAACAGAATTCTGGAGCAAAAGAGCATTCATGTGCGAATGATCATCGTCAAGGACGGCTGCGATCCCAACTGCCCGCCGATCAATGCGTTCCTGTGTCTGCGGCGTAATAATCAGGATAGCAGTTATCAATACAACACAGTTTGCAATTTATGGACCGTCTGTAGTAAATTGGTGCTGGTTAACTACAACGCTTCGCATCCAGCTGACAACACCGTTTTATTCCACCCGTTGATCGCCAACGGCGGCGCGTGGCTGAAACGGATGACCTTTCGCGCCAGTAATCAGCAATCGGAATCGGCCATCTGCATTCCGTATCTGCACTTTCGTTCTACGGAAGCCGCCGCTGAACAGCGCCAGCGTTTTTTAGCCGCTGTTAACGATAACTGCCCGGATGTTTCGCAGGCCATCTGCGCAAAGGTCACCGCGTTGCATGCGCGCTGGAGGGAAGAGCTGGCTTATCCGGATGAATGGAGCGCTATGCGCGCCTTCTGTAAACTGTGAGTTAGATTACTAACAGTAAAAATAATAAGAGGCACAATATTTATTACGTTGCAGCTTCAGCGGTTTTCGCCCCGAGCACAGTTCAGCATGGTGGGATGCAGTGGATCTGCGAGGACTCGACATGTCAACATTGAGTCGATTTGCCTTGCACCTGCTGAAAGGGTATTACGCCGACTGAAACGGAAGCGACGTAACCGAAACTATAGATGGAATGAATTTCAACGTGTAGCTTCTGACTAACGGGTTTTCTTAATAGTGACGGTTTTTTCACCATTTCACACGCTAAAAAGGAACAGCAGTTGCAGTTATCTCTACGATCCTTTTCTTTTTCTGCATCCTCAAATTGTCTGGATATTATAACGTTTAGCGCGAAAAGTTGGGCCCGATGCTGTCGTTTCGATTTTTCGGTGAAGGTGCCTTCTCAAGCATGATTGCGTTTCAAAAGTGTCCCTAGTATGGGATAATGGGATACGAATACATAACAATGGAAACTTAAGCAGTGTAAGTACGTGCGCTGCAATTACTCTACGAAATTCTGATAAATATGTTCCTGCTAACCTTCTCCCATCAAAGACACGCCGTCGTTGCCGACACTAAGAAGCACACAGATACCGATCCATTTGTCGGGATGTTAGAACATCCGCCTCGACTGCCCGTGAACTTTTCGTACTTGGGATGGCTTGCGTTCGAAAAGGAAAGTCTTACGTAAAATAATATTTTTTTTTAAAAAAGCTGCTCCGAAGCTTTCGGTTGTCCTGACGTCGCTAGATCTCTAACCATAAGCGCTACCCAGTGTTCAATACGTTAGCTAGGGCAGTTATTTGTTTTGTAAAATATGACTTCGTAAGTTCGTATAGCATGTTTTCTTCCAAAACCGAAATATTTACCAATGTTAGCGTAAAGCCAAAAACCACATCAGGCGTTGCACCCTTTTGGGAAAAAGGTCGTGCATGGTCTAATTTTTTAGCACTATAGTTATATGTTGTGGTACGTTATCATCACCTTTTAACCTACCTTATGGGAATTTGTCGGTGCGAAACTCAGAAAAGGTTTCAAGACTGTCTTGTGTATTTACTGTCTTGACTACACAGTGCACACGTTTTAGTCTTTCCCGACTTGATTAAAATCTGGTTGTTTGGTTTAAGTCTTGGCGAAAATGTCTTTTAAATAGGTTCAGTAGCCAGCAGTCTCAGAACACCTTGATGCATGCACTAGCAATACTTCCGTTTTCCTAGTAATCGGAGTCAGTAATAGTACACATGCCAAAGAATATGTCACCGCACTCAAAGCCGAGCGTACCTGCACAACCGTGCAGATTGGAAGTAACTAGTCAGATTTCAGATTCAGAAAGTAATACACAATTCGTGTTTTAGCAGATTTCTTTTATGTCGGCAGCATGGATACATACGGCTATACCGGCCCATCCGAAAATGCTCGGCTCCAAATTAAGAAATATTAAACAGCAAAACTCAGCGGTAATTCCTTCAACTGTTGATCCTAAACACTTTGCAACTGTTCACAGATTGACCAAATTATTCATAATTTTATATCCAAGGCCTCAAGACAATTACAGCAAACAAGAACCCTTCGTCGTTGCGCGGTGGCACCAGATCTTTTACGGCAGGACCGTCAGTTACCTTTGTTGTGCAGCAACGGATTGTCGACTCGCACGGTTCCGTTGGATCCCGCGAATTTTCTGCTTGCAGCCGCTCTCATCACTTGGCCAGGATATCCAGGATACAGATTTGGGAAGGATCCCACGAACGGGAATCCTGTGGGTGATCCCGTCCAATCCGGCACGAGATTTCCCGCACGAACTGGCTTCGTAGCCGTGTAGCCAGCACGGGGTGTGCAGTGCCGTTGGAAACTATTTGGAAACGGTGGCACACTCATCATAAAGCGCTGATGTGAACCGGCAGCGCCGCTTTGCGGGAACGCTACTCCGGGCTGCAACAAGGCGTTACTGGGCGGTGGATAAGCGGGTGGAAAGCTTGCCGACTGGATGTGGTTTACTGGCCACGCATTGCGTGGCTGCCAGGTGCTGGACCACAGTGAGAAATGCGCGTCGTCGGCGCAGATGTTAGGTGGAAATGCTGCCGTGTTGGGGGCGCTGGCCCGGTAAGTGGCTCGCTTCATGCGTCGGCGTCGCTGATAATCGCCATCTTTGTATAAGTCCTCGGCTCCGGGACCGATTGTCCAGAAGCAGCCTAAAAAAGGGTACTTCTTAGTGCTTACTTCCTTGCAACCGGTTATATAATAAGCAACTGTCTTTCGTTTTCATCCTTAAACTGTAGTTGTTTCGCGCACACCAACCCGATTTCAACATCCAAATTTGGCTAATGCTGGATATCGAAACTAGACTTTTTATTTTATTGTGTTAGTAAAGCTGACTGACCTTTGCCCTCGTTCACGCCAGGTATGCGCGGAACCTTCACGAAGCACTCGTTCAAACTAAGATTATGACGGATACTGTTCTGCAAGACAGTAAGACAATAATTAAATTCAGGTGAAGAATTAATTCTAAGGTCTTAATTTTATTTGAAATCAAGTGCAGTAATTTTCAAACACCACCAAACGATTCCGGATTTTTTAGCAAGTATTTCTGCAGTATTTTCGCTATAAAATTATGTTCCGCACATGCGGAGGAAAACATTGTAACTGTTGAGAACGTTTACCGTAATTTTCATACAAAATTAGGTTAAAATTGTTTTTCGTAAGTTTTTTGGGCTGGACACAAATTAAAGGAAAGACAAATTAATATAGCACAAAATGAAAGAACGCACACGCATCAGAGTACTTAATTATGTGCCGCCATCTACCTGCCATCCTTTCTTGCTGGCGCAAAACGCCGGATACTGCTGGAGAATAATCGCGTAGATTTCGCCTAAGGTCAGCTGTTTCTGCGGTGACTCGATGATGGCTTTGAAGATCATGGCCACGTAGCTCAGCGAACCCCGTTTGTCTTTATTGGCTTTGACGACGCTCATCGGATTAGATTCGTCTAACGTTGACGGAGTCGATGGACCGGCGGCAGCGTCCACAGCGGTCGGCATTCCGTTGGCAGCCAACGATTTCTCCTGCGCTGGCCACGGTGCCGGTAAATATTGACCAAAAAACAGCGGATGCGGAAAGTATGTCGCGTCGCTGGAAGTCTCGTTAAAATTCCATGATATCGGTGCTGCATTTTGTGGAGTCGTCCATGCTGCCGCTAATGGTGCGGAAGCTTCCGGCGGTGCTGCTTTATTTTCCACAGTACTGACACAACTCTCATCCATGGTCGACACGTTCATGCGGTACAAATATTACCCGTGAAATAACCGATTTATTATGGCAATTTTGATGGCCAAACACAATAACATAAAGTTGTTAACAATATGGCCGTGTTGATGATACAAATAGTAGCATATTTGTCAGCGGAGTCCAATGCGTGTTTAATGATGTCTGGCAGACCGTGAACAAGAAAAATACTCGTACAGACATTTGACTGAGCGAGCAACAGGGACCAGTGATGTGTTATCGCTCACTGAAAAAAGTGTCACCGCTTGTACATCGTAATCACACGTTGAGGAATGTAAATTTCCGCAGCAATGCCTCGTCTGGGACGAGTCACTTGTTTCTTATCTCGGAACGTGGAGAAATGCCTTTTTTTGCCTGTCTTATTCTGAATGCATGCAGAAGCCGCATGTGCAGAAGTCACGGAGTACGGATGTACTGTACAGTGATGTCTATGCCATGCTGATCATGGATGAAAATCTCGTACATTTTAATTCATAATCGGAAAGATGCAGCGAATACACAATGCTGACGCGTCTGTTGCTGGCAACAGCAGCTTTTTTTTACTATAACATCCGTCATAACAGACATGAAAAGCACAATAATAATTAAATGACAAGCTACGAAAGCAAAGACTGGCAACAACCAGACGTGTTCAGGTGCCTCATTGCTTTTGGGGAGAAAGGATTTTTTTTGTATTCAGCGCGTAGCGCACGGAGTTACTACTTACTATAAAAATTAATTAATACTACTGACCCTGTCCCAAACCGGTATACACTCACTACTGTAGAAGCGCTGACTCGCTCATGATCACCCACCGGCAATATTGCCGAAAAATGTCTTCTTCGGTGTTTTTACCGCGACGTTTACTGGTCGCGCCTATGCCTTGAACTTTTACTTGCGAACCAAGAAAATCCCAAAATTTTTAAGGTTTTTTATTGTCTGATTTTAAGTTAACTCTGTAATGTTAAGCTGCTGCTTTTGCTGAACGACCACTGGCTTTATGTGTTGTACTCGTTAGTACTGGATTTATAATTTTATTGAAGTGAATATCGTAGTGTTGTGGCGTGTCGATCGTGATTTTCCGGAAATATTTTCTGTTCTTGAGTTATAACTGCATAGGCAACGTGCTCGAGTTATTTGTACAAGTTATACAATATTTACCTTTTTTTGGGATTGCACTGAACTATGTTATTCCAATATAAAACTATGAAATGATGAAAAAAAAACAAACATCACCGTAGCATATTACGGAATACGGATGCACAGTGATGTCTATACAGATAGGTAGCTGTCATCACGGGCGGCAACCTTGTGACCACTCTAACTATGATCTTGTGGGTTTATGATTTGTTATACCTACAAAATCACTTGAGAAAAATAATTATGGGTATGGTTGAAATCTCTGGAATCTTCGCAAACGTGACATATTTTTTAAAGGTTTCCTAGACCCCAGTTTTGGCCTTTCTTTCCTTTATTATCCCGTGCGCGATGCCTGCCTGAAATCACCAGGAAATGCAGGTGTACAAGCGGGGTGCCAACCAGCAACAGCTGATATCTGCAAAATCACCCTTGATTATGTTTTAAAGTGCTTTCTCCTGCTCATTTTTCCTCTGTGATCATGCATCGTCTGGCCCGGGCGCTCTGGCTCATCCCTCGTTGCCTGCATCCCCAGGGCCCTATTCCACGACGGTATTCCACGCCGTCTGCAGCATCTTCGTCCGTCGACAGCCAGGTGCAGCGTTTATTGGACGGGGTACTGCAGGGGCAGCGATGGGCGCTGGCGGAGGCCATCACCCTCGTTGAATCCACCCGGGCCGCCAAGCAGCAGCAGGCCACTGCGCTTCTCACCCTGGTCCTGGCGGAGCAGCAACGGAGGCTGCGGGAACAGGGACGGGATGCCTTGTCGCTGCGTATTGGTAAGCAGAAAATAAAATTAATGCGGGGTAAACATCAATTTAAATTTACCATAATTTTATTTCAGTTAATTTACCGTTATTTTATTTTTCCTATTTTACCAGTGATTGTATCAATAATAATTTATTTAATTTAATGCAGTTTAATTTATTTAATTTAATGCAGCTTATGGATTTTCGTACGGCATTTTCGGAGGCAGGAAATCAACAGCCTCTACTTATATTTGGCAACGGGCAAGCACCGATTATTGCCTGCTTGTTAGTGTTACACTGTTACGAATAATATTTTCTTGTTCCTTTTCGGAGGATTTCTGCTGCTGTAGAATTTTCCCGCACTTCTATGGGAGTGCGATGATATTATGGAAGATTTTATTCCATTCTGCTGTAATTTGATTGTATTTAATGCAGGTGTTTCGGGCTCGCCGGGTGCGGGCAAATCGACGTTTCTGGAATGTCTGGGCTCGTATCTGGCCAACGACGAGCGGAATCACAAGGTGGCATGTCTGACCATCGACCCCTCCTCGCGTATCACCGGAGGTAATCACTTCCAGTTTTCTCCAAATTACGGCCAGAATTCTGTAATTTTTTTCTAATTTGTTTAGGATATAAATGTCTGTTTTCATGCTGTTTAAATTTGTCTTAAATCCTTAGTGAAATTTATGAATTTTTTTATGGCAGGCTATTGTTTGTCTACCAAGGACTCAAATAATTTTTTCTGAACCGCATGTAGAAAAAAATAATGTCAGTCGTATCGTGATAATGTGTTCGGCTTGTTTTTTTGCTACTCGAGACGAAGTGTTCTACCTTCTAACATTCATAAAAAATATTTTTATGTATACAGCCCTGCTCAGCCAAGTTGGGGCAGTTTTTTCAAAAAATTAGCACAGGTCAGCCGTCACAGAATACTTCCTCATTTAATTTTTTCTTAGTTGCCGTGTGTGTCCGACATCTTTATCACTTGGAGATTCTACGCTGAGACCGCTTTCCGAATAACCGTGAGGTCAAAATTAGGGTAGACCAGAGGAAAAAAGCGGCTTGACCCACTCAGCGTGGTAGCAGTAGTCCTGTTTGAAATTTGCTTAAAAATTCTGATGACGTCATTGTTCAAAAGCACTACCTCTGAGGTGTTGGTCGTTCAATGCTCTTGCGAACGATACCATACATCAGCCGATTTCGGCTAAGCCTGGGTGACCTTTGCAGAGTGACTGCAAGCACCTTTGAATCGGGGAGTGACCTCCCTCGCACGCTTCCGGTGCAGCCACGGGATGCGACGGGTAATTATTTTCGACGAAATCGTATTTGCGAAGCCTTGAGCGTCAATAAAAAGTCTTTCACTTGTACAATATGCCTGAAACACTCCATTTCGAGACACTGTAAGAGAAAGCATACGTATTTTTTGCAGCCGCTTTGCTGATTTTTTATTCTGTTCATCCGGCCACTGCATTTCTCCGCCTGGACAGTTTATGTCTGTTCAAACCTCAAAATCGTTTCAGGTGGTCCATGCTTTATTCATGGCAAATATCAAATTGAAGTTACTTTGGTCTGTGCGCTAGGCAACCGCATTCTTCGGCAGGTAGGTCTTAGCATACAATCCTATGGGAAGTGCACATTGTTTCACGGTCAGCCCGAGCACTGATCGCGCTAGATTTTTTTGCGAACCCATAACGGACAGGCTTCGGTTCGCTTAGGACTTTCCAGAAAAGCTCACGTAAAAATATCTGTCGGTGTATTCTTCAGAGGGGCCGTTATAAGCATCCTAAAAATGACCACCACACCATCCCCTTAACCAGTGCTCGGCTCCCTACTGGCACACCAAGGGGTACCGGTTTTAAAACTCCTAGATTCGCCGTAAAAAGTTACACTAGATAACTGCAAATTCAAAAACGAAACAATGTATACAATTATTTTATAATTATTTAACAAAACTGCCCCAACTTGGCTGTGCAGGGCTGTATAAAGATCGTAGTGCAGTGACGCACAGACGCTTCCAGTATCAATAATTTCACGTGCGTCTTTAAAGTAACCATTTAATGGAATTGAGAGCTACAATTATTTCCTGAAAATTACTAACTTCCCGGGACTTCTATTTTTTACTTCTCTTTTTTTCTGGTATGAAATAAACAATTATTTCTGTAGGGTACGTTTTCGTAAAAATACTACCACATCCGATTACTGTCTGAAATCAGTGTTTTCGGATACGGGTAGAAATTGCACTTAACTCGGTTTTTTTTAAATGCCAGGTTCATTGCTGGGAGACAAGACGCGCATGGCGAATCTCTCGCGCAATCCGCGCGCCTTCATCCGCCCCTCGCCCAGCAGCGGCGCCCTGGGCGGGGTGACGCGCACCACCGCCGAGGCCATTCTGCTGTGCGAGGCCGCCGGCTACGACGTGGTCTTCGTGGAAACTGTAGGTGGGCAGTAAACACGATTTTTTATGCATCTTTTCTTTATTTATTTTTCTTATAACTTTTAAACATGCATCCGATCGGTTTTACGTAATTTAGGTAACGATTTGATTTTCATTCGATAATATAATTTATAAATAACTTAATAATTATTAATGTCCATATGTGTGAATGCCACGCTTTGCACGTTGTATCACTCTTTTCCGCGCTTAGAAAGAAAAATTGGAACATTATATTAATATTGGAAAACTGGAATATTGTTCCCTTTCCCTGTTACTAAAAATTATGAAATTTTGAAATCTTGTGTTAAATTAAAATTGTAAAAAATTAAAACAACGCTTTACGATCTCGTACTCATTTTTTGGTATTTTTTTTCTGCCATTAAAAAGACGAATATTATTCCGGAAAATTCGAACAGCCAGAAAAATTTACAGTGCGTGGTTTTTTTATAATAAAGACGGATATCCAAATTGAGGATTATTAGTCGGCAACCACCTGTTGAATAAAAATCGTGCAATTACTGTAACCGCTTCGATAAAATTCAAATTAAATTAAATTACTTAACTACAGTGTAAACAGTTGAAATAATTTGGTCTGATAAATTTCCGGTTGTAGGATCGGGCCAGAACGAGTACGTCGTGGCCGACATGGTGGACGTGTTCGTCCTGATCGTCGCCCCGGGCGGCGGGGATGAGCTGCAGGCCATGAAGCGCGGCATCATGGAGCTGTGCGACGTCGTGGTGGTCAACAAGGCCGACGGGGATCTCCTGCCGGCCGCCCGCCGCACGCAGTCCGACTACATCAGCGCCCTCAAATTCCTCCAGCCCCGGAGTCATTCGCAGTCTTTCCCCTGGCGCCCCAAAGTTAGCTGCAAATTCGTGACGAATAAGATAAATTTTAACTGAATTTTACTAAATGAAATTTAGTGGTCTTCTAACTGTTGGCAACCACGATAAACTATACAGTAAATTTTTGAAAAATTTCAGTACATTATTTCGGTGATATTTGTATTCCTGACTCGCAGTTATTTTTTTTTCTATATTCTTGAATAACTTATTTAAGGCCGTAATCTCGAATAATTCATTCTAAGATTCAAATAATTTATTTCCTTATTTAGAATAATGTTTTCAAATAATTGCTTTTTTTTAATGATAATTAATTTTATTCTCGAATAATCAAACAGTAATTTAATTTAATTTGTTCTTGCATCGTGAGTTATCAAGCGCATTTAAAATAAATAAATGCATTTGAAATTGCACTGGAACAAATTATTTTCGGTCTGATTAGCTCGAAAAAAGCCAATCCGACATTATTGCATGCCTTGATAATTTTCCAGTAATTCCTTTTACACACAAATTTAGTAGCATTATTGAAAAAAGTACTGTACATGGAATTCGTTTCTAATTTCTGCTGCCCCGACTGCAAAAACAAAATCCGGCATCTTTCCCCAGATTTAATCGGAGTTTTGCGCAGGTTGTGCGGGTGTCGTCGGTGACCGGTGAAGGCATGGAGAAAGCCTGGTCCACGCTGGAAGAATTCCGGGGTATGGCGTTGGAGAGTGGCCATTTAGAGGAGCAGCGTCGTCGGCAGAATCTGCTGTGGATGTGGCGCTTCGTCAACGACCACCTCCAGGACCTGTTCCGCAATGACCCCGCGGTGCAGCGACAGGCCGCCGCGACGGAGCACGCCGTGCTGCAGGGCACCCTCACCCCGTTGGCGGGGGCGCAGGTGCTCATGGAGGCGTACTACCGCCGCAAATGAAATTGGCATTAGTTGCGAACCTACTGAGATGTTTTTTAATAATGATGGGCTTGTTAATTTTATTAAAATCTTTATTTGATTTGAATTTGTTATTGTTTTCCTAATTTTATTGGATTTGTTATTGTGACAGGCAAGCGCAGGGGACTCACAGTGAGCTTTATTGACAGATAAAGGGAGCAAATACCGCGTGATTGCGGGAGAGGAAGAACCAAGAGCCAATGTCTGGCCAAGCAAAATCAGCACGTCAAGTTGCTGAGAGCAAGTTCTAGAGCGTAATGAAATGTAGAGAGAGAAGTGCTGGCGGCAACGTCGTGCTGTCCAGACATGTGGAATGTGATGCGCAGACTGGACTCGTATCCAACGCGAGCGTATAAGCGCTGAGTCATACAGCGAGAGAGGAACGAGAGAGCAAGTATGCTCAGTGAGTGCGCCCGCGGTGGATCCGCTAGGCGGAGAGTGCAGTGCAGCCACTCACGTACGTACAAGAGAGGGCGAATCAGCATGTGTGCGTTGGTACGCATACGCAAAGTGGCGTATCTACCACGCAGGCTGTCGTGCCTCTAACATGCCTCTGGGCGGGAATCCGAGCTCCTGCGAGGATGCTCCGACTCAGTACCGCGCCAGCGTCGCACCTCTCCGGTCGACCCATGTGGGGTCGCCGGTACGCGTCCTCTTCCAGTGGGAGTCCGGTGTCCTGTTGACCGTCCCATCCTTCACTTCCAGACCCATGAGAGGCAAGCAACTCACGGCCGCAAATCTGGAAGCCGCTCGGGCGTTTCGTTGGGCCGGTAATGCTTCTGTCGGCAGGCATCTTGCTTCTGTTGGCTTCGGAGAACGTAAAAGAAAAGTGTAATGACGGTTAAACAGCGCGAAAGAAAAATGTAATAAAGTTTAATCACAATTCCAGTGAGCACAAAGGTAACACAAAACAGGTTTGGTTAGAGATTATTCCGACTAGGATGACGTCCACGGGGTCTTGAGTTTCCACGGGGTCTTCTTTCCAAATGCAGTCCGGTATATCAGGTCCGGGGCGTCGGTTCCCGGGTTACCTAACGTAACCGGTAAATTCGTTCGAGGTCGGGTAAGCACGGCTGACACTTACGTCCGGCTCGTATCCGTCCGTTCCGGAGAGAGAGGCACTGTCGCTGTTGCAAATGTCAAAGCATCCTCTCTGAATAGGGCAAATGGACCGAGGTCGGTTAACCAAGGTCGACCTACCGGTTAGTTAACCGGCGGTCAGTAAATCCGGCTAAGTTCCGAATTCCGAAGTTCAGGTCGGACAAAACCGTACTTGTGTCGTGCGACTTCTGTGGTCGCCAAGTGGTAATGCCGATAAAGTGTGGACGGTCGAAACCGTTCAATCTGCTACCACGAGCCTGGTTATGACTTCATCCGATGCGAACTGGCTCGAAGGTCCGGTCGGAATTTTTTGCTCCTTCCATCCAACGATGATTTACTGTTGTCATCCGACCTGTTGTCGGTTAGGATGGATATCCGACCTGAGGTCGGTCGTAATGTTATCCGACCTGAGGTCGGTGATAACGTGCCTCCATGGTCGACCTCGGTGACCCGTGTTATTTAGGCCCATGTAGGGTCAAATAAGTCCCGTCAAGTCGAATTTGTCCACTTCGAGGTCGTTTACAGTTCCAATCTTCAGTTTCGTCATTCTTCACCGACCTGTTATCGATGACTTCTGATGTCCGACCTGAGGTCGGGTATAATGTTATTTAGCCCGAGGTCGGTGGTAATGTTGTGCGACCTGAGGTCGGTTACCACGTGACGTTGGTACTGGTCCGCTCAAAGGTCGTAATTCGGGTGATCCGCTGGTTTTCCACGCGGTTTCAGGGATCCGGTGTTATTAACCGATTTCTGTGGTCGGTTAAACCGGTTATCCGACCTGAGGTCAGTGATAGTGATTTCCGACCCGAGGTCGGATATTCCATGTTCCAGGTCGACCAAGAGAGTTACAGTCTTGCAGGTCCAAGTGGGACCATACAAGGTCGTTTTGGCCGAATTCATCCGTTCGGAAATCGTTTTCCGCGGAGTTCTTCTTATGGGTATCCATCTACCGATCTGTTGTCGGTTCATCCACATGTCCGACCCGAGGTCGGTTACAATGTTATCCGACCTGAGGTCGGTTGTCCTGTGTCACAGGTCGACTGAGGTCGATTTCATCCGTCCGGAAGTCGTTTTCCTTAGACAGTTTCAATAGTCTCTCCATCTACCGACCTGTTGTCGGTTACTTGACATGTCCGACCTGAGGTCGGTTACAATGTTGTCCGGTAATTCCATATCATGTGGCATTGGTACCGATTTTGGATACCGTATAACGTCGAAAGGTCGTAATTCGACTAATCCGGTGATGTTCCAGACAGTTCCGAACGATCCGGTGTTGTTAACCGACTTGCGTGGTCGGTAACGCCGGTTATCCGACCTGAGGTCGAGTGTAATGTTATCCGACCCGAGGTCGGTTACTCCATGTTCCAGGTCGATGGAGGTCGATTTTATCCGTTCGGAAGTCGTTTTTCGTTAGAATCTTGCGTCCACCGACCTGTTGTCGATTATCCGCACAAGTCCGACCTGAGTTCGGTTACACTATTATCCGACCTGAGGTCGATGATTCCATGATTGCAGGTCCAAGTGGGACCAGACAAAGTCGTTTTGATCAAACCTCCGTCCGGAAATCGTTTTCCGTGAAAATCTTCCATGGTGTGTCCATCCACCGACCTGTTGTCGGTTACTCCCCATGGCCGACCTGAGGTCGGGTACAATGTTAACCGACCTGAGGTCGGTGATTCCGAGATTCCATGTTCAACCGAGGTGGGTTACGGTAATGTAAGCTCAAAGTGGAGCCACACAAGTCCCATTCGGCCGAATAATCCTCGTTGACCGGCCTGTTGTCGGTAATTTCGCGTTATCCAACCTGAGGTCGGTGGTTTCTCCCTCGTAGTTGGTTCAATCCGTTGGGAGGTCGTTTCTAGCCTCTGGGCATTCATCCGAGCTCTGCAAAGTTGTTAGGAGCGATGGCCGTGTTCGTACCTCTAACATGCCCTGGGTCGGGTCCGTGACTTTGCCTCTGGACGGGTCCGAGTTCCGTCAAGTTTGGCGGTTCCATGGCGTCTTTTGGCCATTCAGCATACACTGCTGGTTGATTACGGTGTCAAGGGACTTATGTGATCCCTTTTCACCAGGTAATCTTTTTGGTTCCATATGCTTCCATCAGGTCCACGTCGGTCGGTCATGTGTTGACATTTCTTAGGTCGGCTACCGTTGGCAAAATCGACTTCTGTGGTCGATTTAGGTAGCAGGTCATGGTTGACGCGATCCGCTCTGTTGGGATCCGAGTGATTCCGGGTCATATCCAGACTTGTTGTCTGGTTAGCTTCGCTTTATCCGACCTGAGGTCCGGTAAAATGTTGTCCAACCCGAGGTCGATGATTCTTCATCATGGTTGACTCCATTCATTGAGAGGTCGTTTCAGGCCTCTTGGCATTCGTCCGAGCCCCGGAAAGTTATCAAAAGTTGTGGTCCGGTTCGTACCTCTCACATGCTCTGGGTCGGATCCGAGTCGCTGTTGGTCGGTTATCCCGCTGAGCCATGTGACATTGGACTTTGCCTCTTGACGGGTCCAAGTTCCGTTGAGTTCGGTGGTTGCCATGGCGTCTGTTGGCCAGGTTTTCCATCGCAGGTCGAAGTTAATGATCTGCGAGCTTGCGGTCCGTTTAACTAATCGACTACCCTTATTCGGATCGACTTCCGTGGTCGATTAAGGTAGCGAGCTGTGTTTATTGCGGTCCGCTTGGTTGACCCTCCGGTTCCGGAGTCGACCATGGGTGCTTCAACGAACATTTACGACTTGTCCTTCGGATGTTGAGTTGAAACTTTCACCGACTTCTGTGGTCGGCTATTTTATCCGAGTCGTAACGAGGGGGGTCCAAGTTCTACCTTGAGGTTGGTTGACTTCCGTGGTCAACAAAGGTAGCGGATCGTGGTTCTGTGGCACGGTCTGCGCCACTTCCTTTTTAGTTTAGCTACCTCCGGAATGGTCAACTTTTGCGGTTGACTGAGGTAGGAAGACGTGGTTAAAGTCGCGGTCTGCGGGGTTAAGTCTTTGGGCGGAAGTCCGGTTCTTCGCTCCTGCTTTAATTCAATGGGCCATATCATAACAGGTCGGTTTTGACTTCTGTGGTCAATTCCGAACCATGTGACATTCCAAACCGATGAGGATACCACTGTCTGCGGTGACGAAAGTTACTGGTCAGTTACCCGGTCCCAAAGTCGGCCACGGGTGCCAGGCAAACACGGTGTAAAACAAGCGCAGTGACGTGTTTCGCACCATGTTAGCGTAATCCTCTCGGTCTGTACTCCAGAGTCGGTTGGCCGGAGTAATTTTCTTCGGTAGCAGAACGTGGTTCACGATGTGCTATGTTAGCAGGCCGGGGCGTCTGTTGTCTCCGGTCCGACCTCCGGGAACTGAGGTCGGTTGCCCAGTTCGTTCCAGGGGATTCCTCCGGGGACGTACCGGTACGGTGAAAGAACCGAATCACGTCGGTCTTCACCACGCGTTTCCGGGTCTAACCGAAGAATCCGGCTAAGGAAGCAAATCAGGGTTATTGTCACTTCTGGGCAGCGGTCTGCTCCTTTCGACTCCTTCCGTCGTAATCTTGAGTGGCCGGGCGTCTTTTAGCTCCGGTTTCTTCTTTGATTCGGCCGGCTCAGGCCGACCTCTGCGTGAGGTCCATTGATGTGGTCGACTTTTGTGGTCGACTATGGTAGCGAAACGGCATTACGGTGCGGTCTGTTGCGCTTGAGGCGGCCGGGCATCTGTTGGCTCCAGCCTTTTTCGCTTTGCCGGCTGGACTTCCGTATATGGTCGACTGACATCCATCCTTCTGGTTTGATGAGGTCCTTCCGGCTTCTGTTGTCGGTGGGACGTTACGGATTTCCTTGATCGAAGATTGTTGTGCGACCTCCATCTTCTGTTGATGTTGACCGACCTTGGTCGGTGGAAGTTGTCCGACCTGATTAGTCGTTGAAATCCTACCGACTTCTTTGGTCGGTTGGATCTTACCAACTTCCGTAGTCAATGTCCGTTGGCCAACTTCCTTGGTTGGTGATGCTTGACCATCCTTCCTATCCGGTTGAGGTAGACCGACCTTCCAGGTCGGTAACTGTTGACCGTCCTTCAAGGTTGGTT